TCAATCCGGGCAGAATGCGTCGATAGGAAGTCCATGCCGTTGATTAGGTCGTGAGGGCAATTTTCGAGCACCGTAAATAAAACGGGAACATGGCGACTGGCAATGCTAACACGAGTGGTACACATTCTAGTGATGTCTACAGTTCCACCATCAGCGATATTGAGTGCTTTAGTCGCAGCAGGCATGAGGACTTTTTTGAGTAGGTGACACAGATGGGCACTCATGATGGACATTTGAGCTCTAGTATCGACTAACGGCGTCAAAGAAAAACTATCCACATACACTTCAATCAAGTTCGTATTAGTGGGGAGCATCAACGGAGTATTTGGATCAAACTCAATTGATGCAGCACTGCCTCCAGGAGCTGCATGATCTAGTTTTCCATCCAAGAGGATCTATAGTTGGCCTGCGATGGATAGCAGTGTGGTTAGGGCGATGGGGAATGGGGACGTTGAGGTGACTGCGAACAAGCGGTGGAGCGGATGTTGGAGGCGTCGGAAGAAGGATATACACAACTGGGCAACCATACCGACGGGAGTCCTCGTATGGGCGAGAAGAAGATGAAAATGGGCTTCGGTGTGGGGTGTCCAAGTGCTGCGGCAGAAGTGGAAGACATCGCCAACTCAGTGGGAGCGGAAGCAGATAGATTTGTCGTCTGCAGTTCTCCATTCTGTCGGATTGCGGGATCTCGGAAGAAAATATGAGTCATGGGGCATTGTATTCATTGCCACCGGTCTGGAGGCATGTTGGGAGAAAGAGCAGGCAACAGGAAAACTGAGCTTTGCAATTTTTTCTCCCATGATGGCTTTAATAACCGAGACCACCGGAGGCGTTTCTGCAGCGCCTTGGTTGCGTGGAAGTGAAGGAAATGGCGCAGGACTTGACGCCTTAAGCTCCCGTCGAACTACACGTGTCACATTCTCCTGATGGGGTAGTGTGGAACGGACATCGGTGCAGGTTGATGTGACTGGCCTGTTTGGTAGCCACGAAAATTGAGGCAGAACACTGCCGCTTTTGGCCATTTCGAAATGGCGGCATTCATTAATAATCATATCGACGGTCGTGACGTTGGTGTACACGAGCAAGTTGAAGGCGTTGTCCGCGATGCTTTTGTGTATGTGGCCCACCTTTTCACACTCCGTCATTTTCTGGTCTACTTTCTGGCACAACGCGAGCACGTCCTGTATATGTGGGACATACGACTCGGTTGAGGACTGCACAAAAGTGGCAAGGGCTTTTCGCACTTCCATTTGGCAACCGGACGGCTCGCCAAAGATGTCACATAGTGGCTCCTTGAATATATCTCAGCAGGTGAGCTCATTCTTTAACACGTGGGGTGCCATTCAAGTAAAAGATTAAGTTGGTAAGCATCATGCTAAGGTCCCATTGGTGAGTCTGGTTAACACGCTCATACATGCAGAGCCAGTAGTCTTCGTCAAGGCCAGGTTGTGCAGAGAATTTAGTGGGATCACGTGGGCGGGATAGTCAGGTATGTAGGGGCTGGAGGTCCAGATGGACTGGGAAGGGTTGTCATTGGTAGCCATAGCCGGAAGCTGAACAGTGTGGCCACTGCAAAGCTTCGTGGCGAGGACGGGGGAACGTTCCTCCTTCACCAGGTATGTTACGTTTGAGAAGAGAGGATCAACGAGGCTGTATAGAAAATATATTACTAGCAGCAGTTGTAGCGTCGCTAGGTAAGCAGTGGCCGAGCGGAGACAGACCTTTGTCCTCTTCATCGGGCACAAACGCGCGTCGCCGCATAGAATGTCAATATGCATGCATGTAGCAGTATTACTGTGCCTTCAGCTGAGAAAGAATTTATTCAATCACTGAGATAACAAGGCAAGTGGCTGGCAAATCATTACTCAGCAAAGGGCACACCGGACTCTGAGATCAGCTTGCTAATAGGATCGGATTATCTCTGGAAAGTAATCACAAGTGAAGTCATCCGATGCCACGACGTATTAGGTTGAGTTTTAATTGACACCATATTCGGCTGTACTCTACAAGGACCTGTTTGTGTACAAAACTCTTCAGGCTGTGCTACTCATGTTACCAGCGTCTTGCGGGTAGATACCGTAGAAGAGGAATCTACAATGGAGATCTCACAGTCTTTCTGGAAGGATCACTCCACGGGCACAACTAACTTCAGTGAAAGTGTCTTTGACTGAAACCTTTGACAGAGTAAGCAGACAACTAAACAGTCTGCTGGCCGACAATCTGTAGTACAGCTGTGGACAGACGACCACAATTGGGGAGATAACCTCATTGAACAGTGAGTGACTCGCGTGCCGTTTGGGTCATTGACAAGGCTGTCTCTTCTTCAAGGGGTAATACACTACGATTTCAACAGCGTAAGCATAAAAGATAGAGTAGTTGCCCGAACATGGAAGCAGAGTTTCTTTGTCGACGGCTTGCGACGAGAAGCCGACCCTTTGGCAAAAAGTCAAACGAGGCTAATTTCATAATGAACCTCAAGAAACGGAAGACAATCCCTTTATTAATCACCCGCTTCCTTCCGCGATGCCCTGTGTGCCTACATGTTGGGAATTCAGTTCCATTTCATCCGGAACACCACTCATATGACACATCAACTTCGCCACAGGCTACCAGGAATGATTCTCTCGGGAAGCCATGCTACCATCGGACGCTACTGTATCATTCTTGGGTGAGATGGAAAAGGCTATTGAAGTATCGTGACCTCCGCATGGGTATTGTCAAACTTCAAACCGAAGTTAAATGGTAAACTATGACGTTGCAGTGGAACACGATAGGAAAAACCGATTTTTTTTGGTCACTGTCTCGAGTAAAGCAGGCACATCTTGGTCATGCTGTACTTGTGTGGTCTTGCTTCACCAAAACACAACTCGGCACTGTACCCAAGAGGCCCATACCAGCTGTATAGACTAGACTTGCTTCGTACTTCTCTTGGGGCGGGGCAGGATGTGGAAATTAAAATAAACGCAGCCAGCCAGTGAAGGCAAAGAAGCAGATCAGGTTTGATCTTGGCGATGATGGCTTCTGACTGTGTTCTTCCGCCCCAGTTAACCTCTTAGGGTCCAAATTCGATACATGACGGCGACAGCAAAGATGAGCCGAGAGTGTCCATATAATTGCTATCACAATAAAAATCTGTGATGTTGATGATCATTATCAGTGTTAAAGCATGGATTGATCAACAGATGCACAAGGCAAGCACAGTTTCGGTCCACTTTCCTGCTGTAGTTGTAAAAGAAACTCAGTCATGGCAATACCAGCTTAAAGAGCATCTGGTTCTCAGCAGCAAAGCACAAAGACACACACAATTGGGCTGGAGTATAAGGGGGTGCCACATTAGCAGTGTCTATTGTTCTTGTTATTTTGTGGGTTTGGAAACCTAGTTGTTGGTTGTTGGCAACATGTGAACAACAATCGTTCGCAGGCTTGCAGTTTTGTTGTCTGCACACCTGAGGTGGTTATTCTGCCTTGCAGAGGTTTGAAAGTAAGTAGACAGCAACACTTACTGGCTACTGCTCTTCAGCTCGAGCTTGGGGGGCAAGACTTGCCCTCCGACTTAAGTGCTTAGGACCTTTGAACTTGGCTACTAGAAGGTCATGCTACTGTGTCAGCCACACCTTCACCAGCCTGAGATCTAGCCAGGTTTCAGGATTGTTCTGTTAAATTAAGCAGCTTTTGTGGCATGAACATTTCCTGTTGCTCCCATGTACATTTGGTACACCAGTATGAAAGGTTCTTTCCTCAGGTGGGATCACTGGTCTCCTACCACCGGCTAGTGCCCTCATCTTTGCAGATGTAGGATTAGTGTGAAAACTGCCACTCTGGTGACAGTGAAGTTGGAAATTTAGAGAAGACAATTACGAACATGTGATAGGTGGCACTGGGGCTGTTTAAGAGATATCACCATAGTGTTGCTTTAAGTGCCATTGGCTTACCAAGGAAGGGCAGGTAATTAAGTAGTGGCTATAGCCATTGGACATGCAAGTATGTCACGCAAAGTGATACAGTCACTGAAAGTGTTAGCATCAGAATGCAGCCCAAGGTAATCACTGAACATTTTGGTGGTCAGGTCTTGAGTGCTATAATTGAAACATTTACATGTGCGAATGGTGTATCTGGTGCCACCAATTTCAAAGAGTTTCATAAAATTATTGCAACTTCATTTTGGCAAATGCCTAGTGCATTTTATTTGTGCTTCTGGCCTAAGGTGCTTGTGGTGCGAGTCAAGTGAATCTGTCTCTTGAGCATCACGAGCTTGTTAGTGATGGCTAGCACCGGTTTATGCCACTGCATTAATGTTAAAAAGCCTTAATTAGCGAGCACTCTTTTATCCAATGAATGAAATGTTTGCACATTGTTTGGTTATTTTGTTTACAAGCTGCCGGGGCCTCAAAAATCTTTAAAACTTCTCAATTTTTTTCTGGTAAAGTGACTTAAAATGCTGTGTAATATGCTCGGTATTACGATATGCTCGGTACCGATGCTCGGTATTATGCTGGTAATAACGGAAGCTGTTGCTTTCACCACTGTGCACCCGAAGCAAAAAATGCAAAGACTTCTATTTATCTTTTATCAGTTTTTTTTCTATCATGGTCAAATAGTATCCTCTCAATAAATAATGAACTCTGTCAAAGTGCACGGACTACAGGTGCGGCATCTTCTTCATTTGATGCCAGTTTTGCGCCCAAATGTGCTTCTCATAGTACTATGGCACTATAGTGCTATGGCACGATGAGAAGCATTGCATATTCTTCATTCTTTCTTTTTGTAGAAAGCAGGGAGAGATAGTTCAATAGAACCTGCCAGTAGGTGAGTTGGTTCATGATAATAAAGGATGTTAAAATGCACGCTACTAGACAAAAATGAGTGGCCAGCACGAATTGGGGCTTATCTATGTTGGCCTCTCATGGCTGTCTAGTTGCACGTATCTTATATTTTTAAATAGCAGAGAGAGCATATTTTATGCCTGAGAATTTATTGGTGACTTTTTTTTCTTTACGCAGAGGCCCTTAGTGGCTTACGGGATGCCGTCTGTGATGGGGAAAAAGAGGACGATGCTGGTGAGTAGTTGGTGTTCTTTGTTCAAAGGAACAGGCTCTCAGAAAATAAATGGTGATCACACCCCTTCCCACCCCTTAAGGGGAGATGCTACTCGAAAAAGGTTTTTTTTTATTTCATAACCCAGCTCCTTGAAATTTTAGGTGTTAGTAAAGCTTGCAGTGCTGATTTCATAACTGCAATTATTTGTTTGATAGCTATAGTAGTTCCGGAGTTACTACAACTTTGATATCAAAATATAGTGTTTTTTGTGCACATAATAAAGCTTACTAAAAATTTTCACACAGAATTGCAAAATGGCTCATTTTGCTGCACTTGAGCAGTACAATACAGAAAAGTACCTCAAACAGAAAATTTATTTGCTACATTAAAAAAAAAAAAATTAAAAGTACTAAATGCATATTTTACATCTCTCTATCAGTGTATCAAGTTGTGTAACAAAAAATCTGTGATGTATAATGCAACCTAAAGTAGATACTTGTATTCTAGAGTGGCTGATTAAGCTCTGTGCAAAATTTCATCAAGATAGGACTATTTTATGCCTAAAAAAGATTGTGCACAAGATGAGAGAATTACCTCAAAATGGAAATCGAGAAAAATGCATTTGAAAGTTGTAAATACGTTTACTCATGATTACACAGTGCGATTTGCACAAAACTTGGTGATATCATAGAAGGGACACAGCTAGAGCACCTAAAATTGTCCTGCTCCATATGTGGATCCTTCTCGCCGCTTGAGAAGGGAGTCATCAAGGCGCGCTTTCTTTGCCACGTTCCGCCGATGGGTCCTTGCCTCGGCTGTTTCACACGCAGACATTCTTTCGATTCTCCTCTGGTCGCGGGATCGGCCCAGGGTGATCAGTTGATCTGGTGGGACTACACCAAGCTCCTCTAGCACGTGTTCAAAGCTTGAATGTCCTTTATTGAACCACAACACGGCCATAGCAGCTACAGTTTCCACTGTTGTCCGGGAGGCAAACTTAGTCTTCGGACACAACAACCAGATTTTGCTGTTCAAAGATTCTGCAGCGTTTTGGGTCTTCCCTTGGATACAACGCACCAGCAACTTTTCATCTGTGAGCCGCTTGTAAATGGGAAGCACAGCCAATCCTTGAGCCTTGGTCAAGATTGGTGTGTGGTCGGGTGGGGCCTCCCCAAGCGCTTCAGCTCGCCTATGCTTGCACCAGGAAGTCGCCCCTTCTGGACAGTATCGGTGGCTGCCTGCTGTGTTGCTCGATGATGAATGGAAATATGAGGCCCAGATGGCACGATGCATTTTCAGAATATCACCTCTGTTGTTTGTGATTGCAATACGGTAATAGTTCTGCAGCTTCTGAATTGTGCCATCTGTCAGCTTTTCCCCTCGTGGAAGTCTTGTTGGCAGTTTCCGAAGTGCAGTGCCTAGACGCTTGGCCACATGGTTTGTGCACTCCTCCTTGTCCACAACAGCTTCACCATATACCTTGGCCTCAGCGACAGCGGTATAAGCTTTGCTGTCCCCATCACTGAGGAACTTGGTGAAGCGCAATGGTGTTGTGTATGAGGATGTCCTGCCCCATATGCGCAAAGCTGCCTCAGTCTCCATGGCATGAGAGGAGCACTCTGTATTTTTTTCGCAGACAGGTGTGTGGAATGCTTGCCATATTTCTTCCTCATCACCCATGTCCTGGTGCCGGCTACAGGCAAGGCAGTAATTCGATAGCACTTCAAAATCTAGGCACAAACCAGTGTCCACAGACACAGCAGTGCCGATGCCATTGTGGCTCTTGTGCCCTCTTTTTTGCCATGTGCCATCATACATGACAGCAACATCAGCCCCATCCACTTTCTCTTTAGTTATCATCCGCGCTTTCGCCATGTTTTCTTGCACAGCTTTGGTAGCTGCAGCATGAACTTTTTTGCCGATTGCAATAAAAGTCTTATGATGCATAGGTATTGGCAGTCCAAGAATAGCGCAAAAACGCGACAGCTGTTCATGCCCAATGCCTATTGCACGCGCAGCCACAACTACCTTCACATTGACAGCGAAGCTGTCGCGCGAGCTGCCGCTTCGGTAGCTCCAGTCATCACCGGCATCGGTGGGCTGTCTTTCCGGCAGAACACGCCGCGAACTATGCGCGGCAGAAACCACTGACTCGGGACACTCACTGTTATCACAGTGCAGCTCGAGGAAGGAAGAGAGGCCCTTACGTTTACTTGCGGTGTCGCGAACGACGAGTCCAGCGGTGTGGCATGTTGGACAAACAGCACGGCTTACCATCGATGTCAGTGCGCCGATGTCACAAAATACTCCGCTCACAGAGCCACAAACACTCTTCGTTCTTTCGCTTTCGAACTGTTCAATCTTTTTTTCTGATGCGCTGATGAACTTGATCGCGGCGTCGATTTCGTCAAAGTTCCCGCAAGCCGCCGTATCCCCGCTGCCTTGATTAGGCCTAGTGGCCCGCGGCTCGCATTCTTCTACCGCTGCTTTGCGCTTCGGTTTACGCCGACGCCCTTGGTACTTGTTCTTGCTTGCAAACTTTCGTGCTCGGAAGTCTCGCTTCTTCGAGTTATCCATGGTGAACTCGGAAAAACATAGAAACGCACGGCAAGTGCCGATCGTCGCAAGCACTCAGCGAGCGAGGCCGATCAGATGTAGCCAATGGCAACCTCGGTAGCGTACCATGTGACCGGTAGAAATGCGCGAAGCGGCTGCAGCTTGGCTGCAAACCGACTTGGAAACGACTGTTTGTGAAATTCCTCACTAAAATACGAAACTAGGGGGACGCCTGTACACTAGAAGGAGCCTTGATCTACACCACCGAACAAACCCCGATGGCGGACGTCATCGTGTTGCCGAGTGGCGGATTTTCAAAAATAGCCGTCGGATGCGTGAATTCGCGACTTCGGCAGCTACCTTCACTAGCGCAGATCGATTTTTTACCACTTTCTCATTTGAATTCAGCTATGACCTTTGGGGAAATGATAGTTGAATGATCAAAAGTGATTTTAGCAGCAATATCTCAAAAGTGGAAATTTTCGCAAAAAACGCGATTTTTCGACCCGCATCTCCCCTTAAAGGAAACTTACCCGAGCTTCAACTCTTATGTGCTAAACACGTACAGTCAAACCTCAATATATCGAACACGGATATATCGAATTATTGCTTATATCGAACGGTTCCTATATCACGTGGGAAATCGCATGCATTATTGATTTTTTATTTAGAACAAAAATTAATATATAATGGATATATCGAACTTAGCCACCCCAAACTGCCCGCGCTCCATTGACAGGCGGCGAGCTTTCCCGCAACTCTCGAAAGGTGGGGTAGAGCGGCGGGCGTTTACGAATGCTGCACACATCGATGGCGCCGAGAGCGCCACTTTAACGTAGCGGTGTACGCGTGCCGCAGCCTTGCGGTAGAGGTTCTTGAATGAGGAAAGTGAAGAGAAAAGCGCGGAGCTGTTATTTTCTTTCAATACGAAGGCACCAACACGGCTTCGCGCGGGGGAAGGGGGAGTGGGAGGTAAAGATTGAGGAGGAAAGTATAGGAGGGAAAGGACGCAGACGACTGTCTCGGACGCAGCCCGCGCTGCCGCCGGGAAAGGAAAAGCAGTCAGGCGAGCCGGCACGGGCGCGCCATGTGCGTGCTTTACACCCGGACTCACGCCGCAGCCTTGCAGCTTGCAGTCGTTGCAGTCTCTATGGTGTCAACGGCACACTGCGCACTTGTTGCAAGCTCCTCTCCCGTAGCATCGGCAGGCATCGGTCGTTGTGCTCGCAGTGTTCGTGCATTCGGAGTGAGGCCTGTGGTGCGCGACAGACCTAAATCCGAACGGCGGAGCTCACGGCGGAGCTCACGGATGTGGAAATTGTCGCCGAAGCTACTGCTGAGCAGCCAAATGAAGACTCTGCTGAGGTGGATCCCGCAAGCGCTGATGGTGCCCCACTCCCGACATCAGCTGAGGTCGTAGCTGCCTTGGCCCTTGTGCGCCGCCACTCTGGCGCGATTGAAGGCACCGGCCTATCACATATGGATCGCTGGACTATATTGAGGACGCAGTCGTCAAACACGCCATGGCCAACAAAGAGCAGGCTACTCTTTTTTGATATTTTAAACCAAGACACTAAATACTATGTTTGAATCTTCAAGTGAGTATTTACTGCACCACACTTGAATGGTTCGTTGGTTGTTTTCAGCAAGCTGTTGACACATTTTTTTCGTGATTTTTTTTATATCGAATTCTGGATATATCGAACTATTTCGCGATCGCCGCGCCGTTCGATATATCGAGGTTCCACTGTATGTGCTAAAACGAGTATTTTTTTTCTCATTAGATGCATATATATATCTTTGTTTCTTCAGAAAAGTAAAAAAAAAGACTTTTGGCTCTGCACACAGTAAAAAACTGATGATGTGGAAGAGTCCAGTCACATGACCTTTTACTGGTGTACACGGTGAATAGTCTCTGTAATAATATTGAAGGGCAGTCCACCTTTTCTTTTACGGGCGAAGCACCTTATGGTTGAGGTTCGTCTATTGGCATTGGCGTTGTGCCCCGTAACCGTAGCTGACAGTGATGCTGATGACAATAAAGGACAAGCGCGTTCCAGAGCACACATTCTCTTTCTGCCATCACAGCACAGCAAATGCAAAGTACACTATGTGCCATGACGATGAAAATGAGGACGATGATGATAACGGACAATGACTGGCTTGTGCAGTAGATGGCATCTCGATATACTTCACGATGCATTTTGTATGACTGGAGACAACCTACAACCCCCGTCTGATACCACAAAGCAGCAGTAATAAAGGGAAAATGAAATTCAGAACTCAACAAAACATACCATGAACGATACGCTACGTTAGGACAGTTATGACCAATAAACATTGTTATACTGTACATCGCTTTGCTCTCATTTGCATGCGTGAGTTCTCAATGTCACGAGTTATTTAGAGTAACACCAAACGATCCCACTGCCTCGCCCGCTAATCCTTTCCCACTAAACATGTG